AAAAGGGGACTCATGAAGTACTGTGTATTTTCTAGGACCCTCACTTTATACTGTATTTGCAGGAAGGCATGAAGTGATTGACTCTAAAGTATGCCTCCAAATAATCATCCAGAGTGCCAAATAAATTGTACTGTATGTTATATTTATCTTTAAAAAAATAAAAGGAAGTATGTAAGAGATAATATAGATCTGAACAATATTTAAACAAGAATATGGAAGGTGACTGATATATAAACTTACAGTATTTATTGTTGCCAGGTGAATCTTAGTATTTTATCATGAGCATCTTACATAGTTTCAGATGATGTAGAACTGGCTGTTAACTTTCTGTCTCTTTTGGTTTGGGAGGATTTATTTGAGGAAGTGAAATCTACTGAGTAAATCAGAATGGATGGAGTCCAAGTACTTCCTCTTAACTTTCTCAGAATATGAATTTTTTGGAGCTGATAGGAAGAGTTATTTATTGGTTCTTCTTCATTAGCATATGTTCTACCATCTTACATTAAGTGTATGTTGACAGAAGCATTATTTTAATTATCAAGGTGCAATTCTGATCATTTTTATGTCTGTTGAAGGCACTCTTTGTGTTTAATCAACCATCTGATAGGAACAAGGGTGAAGTACTAAAATAGCACCAAAATTTGAGAATTTGAGTACCAGATTTGAGAATATGGTCAAACCTAATTTTCATATGACAGTAGTCAGTTTGTAGAGAAAGTAGTGGATGAAATCATTTTGGAAGAGGCAAGTTGTGTGATCTATGTTTGCAAACGAAAATTGAAGTACATTGCAGCTGAATTTTGATCCTAGTAAGTAATGTAAACTCTCAACAAAGATAAAGCTTAACAGAAAATATATTTTGTGACATATACCCATAAAGCAGCTACTGTTACATAAGTATTTGCATAGCATTATACTTGAAGGTAGGAGAGATGGCCAAAAACCTAAGTTCAGTTTTAGATGAACTGTTCCCAGTCTTTTTCTTGTAACATCAAAATACTGTAATTGCATATCACTTTCTCCTCTTTCCAAACACAATCTTTTCAGTTATCCTTTATCAGGAAATAGATCACATAAACTGGAAGCTGTCTTTAACCAGACAACATGCAAACTGACCTTGGAGGTTCTAAGGAAGCCTGTGTAGGGGAATGCAGTTGCTTATTCATTCTAGCCACTGTGCTCAAAAGTAATATGATTTTAATTATTTAGATTGGATAGATTAATTGTAGTTATGGTAACCGTATGTTAGGTCTTAAAAGACTTTCTGTTTTTTAGGTGCTTATACTAAAACACAAATGATTTATGTGATGTATAAGCCATATCGCCAGGACTTCCCTGGTGGCTCAGGTGATAAAGCGTCTGCCTGCAGTGTGGGAGACCCAGGTTGGATCCCTGAGTTGGGTATATCGCTTGGAGAAGGAAATGGCAACCCACTCCAGTACCCTTGCCTGGAAAATCCCATGAACAGAGGAGCCTGGTAGGCTACAGTCCATGGGGTCACAAAGAGTCGGACACGACTGACCGACTTCACTTCACTTCATGTGATGTGTAGGATTTACTTCAGAATTATCCAGGGATGGAGGGAGCAAGTGAACATATAGCTGAAACAGGATTCAGCATTAATTGATAATTATTGAAGTTGGGAGATAGGAGATAGGTGCATACAGATTTATTACACTTTTCTCTGTGCTTCTGTTTATGTTTGGAAATTTCTAATACTTTTTAAAAAACGTCTAAATGAAGTGTCTACCTAGGCCCCAGAGTATTGCTTTCCACCCTTCATGCATTAAAGACACAGGGAACATCAGCTCTTTTATACTTTAATTGTTTAAGTAAGCTAATGCCACTAAGTAAAACTAAAGAAAAACGCTGTACACCCATTTCTCCTACAACCTACTCCCCCCATCACCCACTCTCAGCCCCTGGCAACTACCAATCTGTTCTCTTTACCTGAACTTACTTTTCTTTTGAATTAATTGATATTTAGATTTCACGTGCAACAGAGATCATACTATATTTGTCTTTCTGTGGTTTATGTCTTACATAATGCCCTTCAGGTCCACCCATCTTGTGTCAGATAGCAAGATTTCATTCTATTTTATGGCCAAATTATATTCCATTGTATGTACATACCACAGTTTTTATCCACTGAAGGACACTTAGGTTGTTTCCATATCTTTGCTGCTATAAGTAATGCTGCAATGAACTCAGGATGTACATCTATCTTTCCTGATTAGTGTTTTCATTTTCTTTAGGTAAACATCCAGAAGTGGGGTTTGGATGGATTGTATGACAGTTCTATTTTTAACTTTTTGAGGCCCCTCCATACTGTTTTCCATAGTATCTGCGTTCATTTGCATTCCTGTCAGCAGTACACAGGGTTTTCTTTGTCCACTTCCTCTCTGACACTTGTTATTTCTAGTCTTTTTGATAATAGCCACCTCAGAGATGTGAGGGGATATGTCACTGTGGTTTTGATTTGCATTTCCCTGATGATTAGTAACACTGAATTTCATGTACTTGTTTGCCATGTATATGTCTTTGAAAAAATGTCTATTCAGATCTGTCCATGTTTTCATCAGATTGTTAGTAGTTTGTTTTTGTCTTTTGTTTCCTGTTGAGTTGTATGAGTTCTTTTTATATTTTGGATGTCACTTGCAAATATTTCCTTCCATTTAGCAGGTTATCTTTTCACTTGTTGATGGTTTCCTTTGCCATGCCCAGCCTTTTGAGTTTGATGTAATCCCACTTGTTGGTTTTTGCTTTTGCTGCTTTCAATTTTGGTGTCAGGTTAAAAAATTCACACCAAGTTCTATGTCAAGGAGCTTACCACTTACATTTTCTTCTATCTGGAAGTTTTACGGTTTCAGTTCTTACTTTCCACTCTTTAATCCATTTTAAGTTAATTTTTATATATAGTATAAGGTAACAGTCAACCTTTATTAGTTTATTTGTGCCACATAACTCTGTTATCCTAACACAGTTTATTGAAGAGACTGCCCTTTTCCCACTGTATATTCTTGGCTTCTTTGTTGTAAATTAATTGACCATATATCCATGGGTTCATTTCTAGGCTCTGTTCTGTTCTAGGGATCTATGTGTCTCTGTAAGCCAGTTCCATACTGCTTTAATTACTGTATTTATATCACTCTACTTAGGGCCCAGAGTACCACTTTCCATCATTCATGCTTTAAAGACTCGGAGAACATTAGCTCTTTTGCATCTTGCTCTTTTATGTTAGAACTATCTATTTGACTTTTTCTTGTATAGATCTGTAGGAAAATTCCCTGCAGGCACACAATATGGACCCCTTTTGCCTTTTATAATGAGGGGATTATACCTGGATGATAACCTATATTGAATATGTACTTATAGTTCTTATTATCAAAAGATAGGAGAAAGGTTGAGTTTTCCTTAAATATTTGCTCCTGTGTTCGAAAATATCAATGTAAGATGGGAGAATTAAGTAACAGTTTTATTATCTGTAAAATGATGGAGCAGATAATTGAAGTGCCTTGAAGCCCACAAGACCTGAGCACATGTGGCCATACCCACCAGAGAATTTTGTAATAACCAGTCTGTATCTTTTCAACTCTTTTACCATTCCAAGTTTCTTTCCCACATTATGTAAGCAATAGATGAATAAAGAATTGTTGTAGTTTTTTTTTTAATTAACCAATCCAACGAACATTTGTTTTTCTTGTTTTGACAATTTGTTTGGGAAAGGAGATGTTCGGTTTGTTAATCAGAGTAAGGCTTGGGAGAGAAGAAACCCACCACAGAATAAATCTACCACAGAATCTTGACACAGAGTGTATCCTAACTCGTCCTGTGAGAGGAGAGTGAGAGTGTTATCCACCATTGATTTAGAGCATCACTGGAGGGCAGGTCAATCACCGAGTTCCCGTCGTACCAAGCAGATGGGACAGTCTTAAGTACCGAATAGTTTCTTTAAAGATGTCAGCCCTTTTTATTCATAGTCTCATCTCTAAAATGATGCTCATTCATGCCATTTCTGCCTTTAATATGATCTTGCATTTTTACTGTTTAAAGTCAGGCTATAATACAGAAACAAAAAGATAGTGATAAATGTCATATACCATCGGTCTCTAAAAGCTGGCCGTATCTGCAGGGCGAGAAAACAGTCATTGCATTTTCCTACCAATTGTGAATTCTTAATGTAGTTTGTCTTTTAAAAATGGAATTGGGAGATTTTTTGAAAACTTCAGTAATTAACTAATAAATGAATTTCTGGCCCCATAGTATTTTCACAGATTTTTTTTTTTTTTTTTTTTTTTTTTTTTGCAGTATCTAGTTTGGAAGCAAGATGAGGGGCAAAATGTGTTAACTCACATATTACTACATTCCATATGGGCTGTGTCAGGGTGACCAGCTGTTAAGACAATGATGACTTCTAAATATAAACTTAATTTTTCCCACTGATTGCTTATAAATCAGGACTTCAAAAGACCTCAACAATCATAATGGAAATATTTAGCCACAGTGATGTGCACCGGAGCTTTTCTCAGAATTGATTTTGAAATGTATTGTTCCAAATGTTTGTTCCACTTCTTTTATGAAGGAAATTTTTATCAAAATGTCCTTTTTATCAAATGTTTAATTAGGACTGCTGCCTTTTGGTAATGAAGGATATGAGTCAATTTTCAGTTTTCTGCAGGACTCTATAAAGTTTTGATATATTAAAATTGTAAATGAACATTCAGTAAAGCTAGGCTCTTTTTCTTTGGCAAATCAAAGGTTTTGTTAAAGAAATTTTTGTTTGAAAATTTGAAATAATGAGCATTTATTTTGTTGGCTCTGTGTTCTACTCCACCACCTTCAAGACTGACCTTCCCACAACCCCACTGCCTATCTCGAAACCCTCTTTTTTCCCAACTTCTTTTTTTGTAGTTGTGTATAGTTTTTATATGGTTGGCCCCTGTCTGTTTTGTTTTATTTTCGAACAGAGACCAATCAGTATGATTTTTGTGTTTGTTCAGGAGTCAGACGGCCAGGGGTGCCCATTCTGTCGCTGCGAAATAAAAGGGACGGAGCCCATCATTGTGGACCCCTTTGATCCGAGGGACGAAGGGTCCAGGTGCTGTAGCATCATCGACCCTTTTGGAATGCCCATGCTGGACTTGGACGATGATGATGACCGGGAAGAGTCCTTGATGATGAATCGGTTGGCAAATGTTCGAAAGGTAAACTAGGTTTTTTTCACGTGTTGTGTGGACATGAAAAAAAAATGATGCTGTCACGAGTAGGGTATGAGTGAGTTTGCTTGGGTTTGAGAAAGAAAGCTGCTGGAATCAATCAAAAGAAAGATGAAGATATAAGTAATGTTGAAAGACTGATGGAATCATTGGGAGAGAAAGAACTAAACTACTTCCAGTGCTCTCGCTGGTTTTAAACTCCAAAAATGAGAGATGGTGAGAGCCTTCGTATAGAATTAAACATCATCTGAGACTGGCGGTAGCATATCCATGAAGAAAATTGAAGAAAGGAAATTGTTAAAATTAGAAGTGATGATATTACCTTTGTGAATTTACCATAGTGTGGGGTTTGCTTATCCATACTGCTGTCAGGAAATTAACTTTGTCAGTTCACTGGGAATGGATGCTACTACCCAGTTTATGTAACCAAGCCCACAGGGACTAGTCAGTGAACCAGAAGGCCAGAAGAGTAATTAACAAACGAGAAATGTAATGATCCAGAGAACTGGACTCTGAGCTGTCAGGCTATTCTCTGTATAAAAAGATACGTGAAATTCAGCTTACACTCAGAAGTGATTGAGTGATACTTGCTCTTAAAATGAGAGAAATGGCAACGAGTGGTATGAAAGGGTTGGCACACGCAGTATGAAGGTGCCCGCCTTCCTTCTGACTCCGGGCAGGCATGGCTTATCAGTCACAGTCCTCATCTGTGCTGAGTTAAGAGTCGGCTTGAGCAGCCTCGGAGATCCTCTGCTCTGATTTGTCAGGACACGGCAGGTAATATGCCACCTGTTTGCCGTCTGTGTAGGTAGAGTGGTGATGACGTGTAAGGGCACCGGGCCGTGTCTGCCACGTGCATCCGGGTCTCCGAGCTAGGGAGACACTTAATCCAGGAGACGGATGCGGTGGTTGGGGGTTACTGCTGCTCTAGGGCCATGTCACGCTTTGTTTCTTGGCCCTCCTGCGTTTTGTGTTCCGCTGTTCCATGCTTGCCACGTGTACCGAGTACTTGTCCTTAGGATTTGTTTTTACTCATTTTTAATTGGAGGATAATTGCTTATGACGTTGTGCTGGTCACTGCTGCACAACGGTGTGAATCAAATTTCAGCAAACATATCCACCCCCTTCTTGAGCCTCCTTCCCACCCCCCTCATCTTACCCCTCTCGGTCATCATAGGGCACTAGCGGAGCGCCCTGTTATATAGCAGCTTCCCGCTAGCTATCTGTTTTACACATATTTACTATCTGGCCCTTTAAGAAAAACACTTCCATTCCCAGATCTAGGACACTTTAAAGCATTTAAAGAATGTTTATTGAATGCATGGATAATAGGGGATGACAGAGAAGTATTTCAGACAAGTACAACAGCTGAAGTAGTTCCAGTGAACTCGATGGTAATGTTTTCTAGCTAGGAAACAGGCATTTTCAATTTTCTTTACTAAATGGGCTTTCTCCTTTCAGTGATTCATGTCAGAGGACGGGAAAAGGGCCATAAGAGTAATTCTTTCAAGAGCTTTGTGCACCTTACTGGTTGGGAGGAAATGGTGTTTACCCTGCATGAGTCTGGGAAAGGTGGCAGTTTCAGCCTGATTTCCCCTGGAGTGAGTCGAGGCTGGGGCTTTGGTTCAGCCGTGGCCCTGACCATTGAAGGGAATCACTGGTAACATAACGTGAGCGCAGGACAGTCGGAGGTGACACTGGTGGTTTTCCCTGGCCTTTCACGCACTCTCAAACCATGCACGTCGTGTTCTCTCTGGCATGCTGGTGGACTTTCTGTTGAGGGAGCTGAGAAATTTTGACAATGATCTTCTCTTTAGTTTATCCCCAAAAAGAGAAGACTGGTGCTGCTCTCAGACTTTCTTGTCCCAGAAGCCAGCAGTGTTACTGAACAAAGCTGTCACTCCAGTCAGCGTCATTTCTTTACTTTCCAGGAGCAGTTAGATTGAAGAAACTTAAAGAACTCGTAATTATTTGTTTTTAAATTGAGGAATCATGTTTCAATTATATGTCTTTATAACTGGCCTACCTCTTATCAATTAAACTGACTGTGAATTTTATAATATTTCATAAATCACTGCCACTTTACTTTCAATAAAACCTAAATTTTACTGTAACTGCAAGCATCAGTTCTTTCTGAATAATTGGGAAAAGCAGTGCTATGGTATTATGTTCCTATAGCACTTTATAGGTACTTTCGTTTCAAGAGTTACACTAAATTGTTATGTTTTATTCAGAGGATGTCTTCTGCATTAGACTGTTCTTAAGGCCAGTGCCAATATCTTATTTATCTTTGTGTTTCTTAGTGCCTAGACATATATTAAGTGAAATAATAAATGCACATGCATGTTCACATGGTCTGTGAGGACAGTGGCCTGATTTTAAGCATCTTTTTCATTCCAGTCTGAAGACTTGGGTATATCTGTGCAAAATACCAAATTACAGATTTTATGCAGTTTTGTCTTCAGCTGAGGTTATAAACAAATACCACAGATCATTTTGACACACTAGCTCTTCTACTTGATTTTCTTCCACTCTGTTATCATTCTGTTGCCTCATTCATTCTTTGATTTATTCATTTTAAAAACATTTCATTCTCTCAACTCCGTGAGTGACTGTCAGTCATTGTCCAGCGTAAGGAATTAATTCTCTTTTATCTGCCATTTCAAATACTCTTCACCTTTCCCTTCTTTTCCAACTATATTGTGAAACTGTTCCTGTCTGTCTGAAGCATATTACATTCTTCAAATTAGTAATGCTTCTATCAAAGCATAGAGAACTGAGCTGTTTGTATATTCCTGTTGTCATGGTGATATCTGCAGCTGGAATTTATAAGGAGTAGCATACTGAAGCTATAGAATGTATTTTTTATTGTTTGTTTTGTAGGTTTATTTAGGAATGCTAATCTTGCAGAAACAGGAAGAAACTATAAATATATAATACAGTGTGTTAGTTGCCTTTCTAGACGTAGGCTATTTTATGAGTTTCACTAGAAGCTGTTTTAGGTTCTGCTTGAAATTGTACCGTTGCTTGAGTCCTGGAGCTGTCTGAATTTCTCAGATAATTGGATCAGAGTGAGCCCTTAGAGGAAGTCCAGGGTGTGATAGGTAAGATCAAATCCTTTCTGACTTTAGTCAGATCAAAGCTAAGAAAAGGTATCAGTTGCTAGGTCAGAATTTTGCTTCGTTTTGCCAGAGGTGTAAAGAATCTCCACAGTTCCTTAACAGTTACTTTGACAGAACATATTACTCACAAAATACATAAATTACAAACAAGTGAAGATTTGGTACAAATACGTTGATAGACTGACCTAGTATGTGAACCGAGATTAATTTCCTTGGTCTTAAACTTTATATTATCTTAAAACAGTATTTAAAATTTTAGTGAGTGACCACATAAGAGGAAAATTAGGTGTGACCAGAGGTCAAAGGAATTATTATTCCTTTATCTTTTTTTATACATCCTCCTAATGCTCCCATCACTAATTAAAATACATGTTGCTAATTGAAAACTTAATATATCATTTAATTCTTCCTTTTCCTAATGTGTGAAGAAAGAGTGCATAGTACTCCTATTCTGAGCAAAGAATTCATGTGTATAGATCACAGTGGTTTTGCAGTATTCTTAGGGTAGTATGACCTTTTTAACGTGACTTAGATTTCAACCACAGGGCTGGAGCAGTAAGGACAAAATTAACAACAAAAGTGAAATTCAGAAATAACCAGACATTTGAAATGTAGACCATGGTTTTCAAGTATGGGCGAGTTCTACCTTCTGAAGGTATTGAGAAATATGTGGGGACACTTTCATTGTCACAGTGACCAAGAGATCAAGGTACCCATTGACATTTAGCAGATGGGGTCAGAGATGCAAGTATCCTCCAACCGGCGGGACAGACGCATCTAGGAACGCTGACACTGATGCACGCTAGTGGTTTCCTCTCCTCGCGTGCGACACAGGCCAAGTCCTGAATGGCAGCAGGCAGTCCACAGTCACAGCTTACTGTTTGCCGTGTGACTGCCTTGTTTACTCAGTTTCTTAAAGCTCTCCATGCAAATGAGTAGCCTTTTCTTTATTAGTATGTGGATATCAAAGGAAGAAACTACCTTGTCCAGGTGCGATGCGATGATACAGGGGACCTTGAAGACCCTGTCACGCGTTCCTCAGCAGTAGTTTGAACGTTTAGCAGTTCAGAAGAGGCAAGCACTTGATTTTTGGACTGAGCGTGGGGTTGGCCGCCTGTGGTGTAGACTGTGAGCCCTGGCGGGCACGCTTCGCTCTCGTTCTCAGAGACTTGCATGGTGCCTCGCGCACAGTCTAGGCCTCGGGGAAAGTTTTGTTTTTCATCTGCTTGACTGAGTGATGAGCGGTGACCCTGGTAACTAAACAGTCCTTAGGAGAGCTGCGGTCCCTGGCGTCCCGCAGCCTGGGTTCATGTTCCAGTTCCGCTCCTTGGCATTTGTGAGCCATCCATCGGTTATCTAACTCCCCTTGCCTCAGTGACCCTGTCTGTGAAAACTTCAGGGTTGAAATTAAATGAGTTAACTAATGTAAAGCCATTAGAACAGTGCTGGTAGATGGTAAACATTAAGTATCAGTTGTTAGCAACATCATTCTTTATATAGTGTTATTCAAGACTCCTACAATTATGGCTGTACTTCTGAGAATTAACTGTTTGTATTTTTGAGATGTCTGTAGAAGTATTTTTTCTTTCAGATACTACCATATGTCATTGTTCAGAAAGAAATAGACATTACAATGGAATTGGTTTGGCAAGAGCTTGGCTGTATTTCTTTATTAATGTATGCATAATTATGATTGCATATTTGTATTATGCATTGTATTTGTATATGCATATATTGCATATAATGTATGCATAATTATAATTGGCCCCATTAAACTTACCGTACAACTACCTTGTTTTACTAACAGTCACTAAAGACAGTGACTGTACTTCGTGTGCAGTTACTGAGTCATGTCTGACTCTTTGC